GGAATGCCATAAAATCAACAGATCAATGAAACGGCTGTAAATATCGGCATAGTCTGCAGAAATGATTCAGGGTTGGAGCCCGTGACCTTTACTAATAGACTGAGGGATTTGGGCTTGTTCAGTCTGCAGAGGAGAAGAGTGAGGGGGGAGGTGAGAGCAGCCTGCAACTCCCTGAAGGGGGTTCCAAAGAGGTTGTAGAGAGGCTGTTCTCAGTGGGGGCAGGTGGCAGAACAAGGAGCAATGGGCTCAAGTTGCAGCGGGGGAGGTCTAGGTTGGATAGTAGGAAAAACGATTTCCCTAGGTGGGTGGGGAAGCGCTGGGCTGGATTCCCTAGGGAGGGGTGGAATCTCCATCCCTAGAGGTGTTTCAGTCTCGGCTCACCAAGCCCTGGCTGGATTGATTGAGTCGGGGTTGGTCCTGCTTTGGGCAGGGGGCTGGACTTGATGGCTCCTGAGGTCTCTTCCCATCCTTGGATTCCATGACTATATGGGTCTGGCTAGACTGCAGGGGGGTTTCAGGATACTGGAAAAAACTCTGCCACGTCCAGGGAACCTGGGTTTTTTTCTTCCGCTTTTTTTTTTTTTTGCAGAAGAGCAAACATGCTCTTTTGCCAGCCCCTCTATTCCTTGTTCTACAAGGAAGTAGGGGGCTTTTGAAAGAGGTTGGTTTTCCGATATTTGGCCCAGTCTAGCAGAGCCTCTTCCGACAAAAGTATCGGGAAAAGATACACAAACTACATTTGAGGAATCAATTTCCGATAGATTCTCACAGTCCAGAGGTACCCTATGACTATCCATTCTGGAGTCAAGGCTGGGAAAGAGGAGGGGTGCAGGGCAAGGAAGTAGGGGGCTTTTGAAAGAGGTTGGTTTTCCGATATTTGGCCCAGTCTAGCAGAGCCTCTTCCGACAAAAGTATCGGGAAAAGATACACAAACTACATTTGAGGAATCAATTTCCGATAGATTCTCACAGTCCAGAGGTACCCTATGACTATCCATTCTGGAGTCAAGGCTGGGAAAGAGGAGGGGTGCAGGGCAG